GCTTTGTGTTTAGCGTGTGTAGGTAGAACTATGAATCCCTAAGCAACAACTTTCCTTTAGCTTACAACACAAAAGGAAGATTTAACTCTAGCCAAGGAAGGAAAAAAAGGGTAGTTTTAAAAAGTGATCCAGACAATGTAATTGCATTAGTTTGGCACTAGCAATAGCCAGGATCTGGGATGGGGCAGGGGACTGTGGGTGGAACAAAATGTAAACCATAAACTGTTTACCAGAGTGTTATTGGATAGGGTATACTGGGATTTTTGAGGAAAAGGGAGCTGGAGACTTGATTTCTTTGAGTTATCTCTAGTTCTTCTGAACTTTAATGAAGCAATTGATGCTGCTGGTTGGGAAATACCTGCTCAGTGGAAGAAGATGGACACTGCTGACAAATACAAAGAAAGCTAGGCTTAAGGCTTGAGTGATGTAGGAGAGGCTGCTGATTTCATATTAAGGGGTTGGAATGGACTTCACAGATCATACAGTCCCACCCCTCTCCTGTCATGAGTAGGGACACCTCCCACCAGACCAGGTTGATCAAGGCTTTATCCAGCCTGGCTTTGAACACTGCCAGGGTTGGGGCATCCACAACCTTCCTGGGCAACCTATGCCAGTGTCTCACCAATACTTGTATATTTCTTGAAGAATCAGTCAGTCTTATGACTGAGTCAGTCTTTAAAGTCTATTGACTCTTACAGGTTATTTTAAATGCAGTGGCTCAGCAATCTACCTCTTCTGTGCTATTAAAATATGCCTGTGATGCCACAATGGCAGTCCCTGCCCGCTGCCTTATAGCAGAAGGGATCAAAGCACCTCACAAAGTTCTATGATAGTTATTACTGTTATTATGTATAGAAGGAAATAGAAACAGAGAAGTAGCAGATGAGAGGCATGGTTGGAATTAAAGCTCACGAGTTAGGCTCAATGGGCTACTTGATCTTAAATGTGATTTTGTGGTGTAAAGGATTCTGATGTATTCCTAGGACCCAAGTAAGTACGAAAATTTGAAGGTGAGCTCTGTTAAGTGATTCTGATCCAGAAAAAAAAGGAATAGACAACTCAGGAGTTTTTCTAAGTGTAGTTGTTTCTAAAGGAAATGTAGAAGGCATGCATAAAGCAGTAACTAGGAGAATAGAAGAGTAAATGAAAAATATGTAAACTTCCAGAACTGGCAATGTAGTATTTTATGGAGTTCATCTTCCTGCCCTGCCCTCCACTCCTCCACACCTCTGCAGAATATGTTGATACGTCTTCAGACAGATTTGGAGTTACAGAAGAAGTCATGTACTTTTCTCTCTGTACCCCAGAAAATAAGATAAAGTGCCAGGTCCTGCACTTCATAGAATCATAAAATTTAGGGGTGGGAATGGACCTTACAGGTCATCTAGTCCCAATGCCCCCTGCCATGGGTAGGGACACCTCCTCACTAGATCAGGTTGCTCAAGGCCTCATCCAGCCTGGCTTTGAGCACCAACAGGGTCAGGGCAGCCACCACATACCTGGACAACCCGTTCCAATGTCTCACCACTCTTAGAGTAAAAAACTCTTTTCTCACGTCCAGCCTAGACTTTCCTTCCTTCAGTTTGAACTTGTTACCCTTTGTCCTACTATGGCAGTTCCTAACAAAGAGTCCCTCTCCAACTGTCTTGTAGGCCCCTTCAGATATTGAAAAGTTGCTATGAGGTCTGCACGCAGTCTTCTCCAGGCTGAACAGCCACAACTTCCTCTGTCTGTCTTCATAGGAGAGGTGCTCCTGTCATTTTATCAATTTCATGGCTCTCCTCTGGACTTGCTCCAACAGCTCCATGTCCTTCTTATGTTGAGGACATCAGAACTGCATGCAGTATTCCAGGTGAGGTCTCATGAGAGCAGAGTAGAGGGGAAGAATCACATCTTTTGACCTTCTAGCCACACTCCTTTGGATGCACCCCAGGATTCGATTGGCTTTCTGGGCTGCTAGTGCACCCTGTCAGCTCATGGTGAGTTTCTCATCCACTGTCACTCTAAAGTCTTTCTCCTCACTGCTGGTTTCAATGACTTCCCCACCCAACCTGTAGCTGTGCCTGGGACTGCCACAGCCCAAATGTAGGACCTTGCACTTCATTTTATTCAACTTCATAAGGTTTACATTGGCCCACCTCCAAGCTTGTCCAGGTCCCTCTGGATGGCATCCCTTCCTGCCAGCATGTTGACTGCCCCACACAGCTTGGTGTCATCAGCGAACTTGCTGAGGGCACATGTTGTATCACAACATCCCCATGCAGTGCTACAGGCTGGGGGAAGAGTGACTGGAAAGCTGCCTGTGAGAAAAGGCCCTGGGGGTGCTGGTTGACAGTGGCTGAACATGAGCCAGCAGTGTGCCCAGGTGGCCAAGAAGGCAAATGGCATCTCGGTGTGTTTCAGAAATAGTGTGGCCAGCAGGATTTGGGAAGTGATTGTCCCTCTGTACTCGGCACCTTGAGTACTGTGTCCAGTTCTGGACCCCTCAATTCAGTAAGGAGATTGAGGTGCTGGAGCAAGTCCAGAGAAGGGCAATGAAGCTGGTGAAGGGTGTGGAATACAAGCCAAATGAGGAATAGCTGAGGGAGCTGAGCATGTTTAGCCTGGAGAAAGAGTCTCAGGGGTGACCTTATTGCTCTCTATAACTACCTGAATGGAGGTTGTAGCCAGGTGAGGGTTGGTCTCTTCTCTCAGGCGACAAGTGACAGTACAAGAGGACACAGCCTCAAGCTGCACCAGGGGAGGTTGGGCATCAGGAAGAATTTCTTCTCAGAATGGGTGATTAGACATTGGAATGGGCTGCCCAGGGAGGTGGTGCAGTTACCATCCCCGGAGGTGTTCAAGAAATCACTGGATGTGGCACTTAGCGCTATAACCTTGTTGACGTGGTGATGATCAGTTGAAGATTGGGCTCTATGATCTTGAAGGTCTTTTCCAGCCTTTTCTATGGTTTTCTAGCTGACATTCTTTCCTCAGCATTTGCATATCAATATTTTTGTCACTGTTGCTATCTGAAAGCGAATAAAGTAACAGAGTAGCAGGAGTGCTTTAGTTTAAAAAACATACAGTATTTGTATTAAGATGTCTTATAGTAATTAAAGTTTAGCTGCACTTCATAACAGAGACAGTGCAACATCAGGCTCTTTGGTACAGTGTGAGAGCAGCTTAGCAGGTATGTATTAAAATAGGTCCTTACACACACACACACAGAATTTCCTCTTGCAAGATACAAATTTGTAATCTTCATTTTGACTCTGCATTCATTTGGAGGTGAAGCCAGAGACTTGGAACCTAAGGCTATACAGCTTTAAAATTAGGCAATTTGGTTTTGTTCTTCAAAAACAACAGCAACAAAAGCATTTTCATGTGTTTGCCTTGACCTTAAAATGATATATTGAACAAACCCAGCGTGGACACACTGCACTGCAGCGCAGGCAATGGTGACAGATAGTAGGATTAGTAGCACTGATCTTGCAAGACCTTTATTTGTTCCGAAGGATCTTCAAGCACTAATGATGCAAATAGCATTATATAAAGGCAAGGTGATGAAAGCAAATTTGTTTTATTATGTGCAGTGAAACACCTACCCTTTATCATTTGGAATGAGGAAGATTGTGTAAACAAAGTTACTCTAAACTCATGTTCAGTTATTGAAAACCATGAAAGCACTAGATGTTTGCCCTTGCAGTCCCTATGTTTGCAGAATTAGGGCCTCGATTAGACAAGAATTCCAACCCAAAGCTAAATTGTTAGAAAGGTGAGTCATGCAAGGACACAGTGAAGGAGAAATGAAAAATTTTTGGAAGAAATGGGTTTTATTGAAAGTCTTACAGACTTGTAGGTAGACATGAAACTCTTAATTTGCAGAACATGCTAGTGAATCACAGAGAAGTTGTTGAGGTCAGCACTGAAACACATGGTGAAGTCTGAGGGGTAAATGAAAGAAGGACATGGAACTGCTGGAGCAAGTCCAGAGGAGGCCACGAAGTTGATAAGAGGACTGGAGCATCTCCCCTATGTCACAGGCTGAAGAAGTTGGGCTGTTCAGCCTGGAGAAGACTGTGTAGAAACCTCATAGCAACTTTTCAATATCTGAAGGGGCTACAGGGGAGCTAGAGGGGACCTCTATATTAAAAACAGCAAAGATAGGACAAGGGGTAATGGGTTCAAATTGAAGGAGAGGAAGTTTAGGTTAGATATTAGAAAAAGTTTTTTCCTATGAGGGTGGTGAGACACTGGCACAGTTTGCCCAGGGACGTGGTGGCTGCCCTGACCCTGGCAGTGTTCAGAGCCAGGTTGGATGAGGCCTTGAGCAACCTGATCTAGTGGGGAGGTGTCCCTGCCCATGGTGGGGAGGGTTGGGACTAGATGATCTGTAAGGTCCATTCCAACTCCTAAAATTCTATGATATGATGAGAAAGAGCAGAGAAAACAGATTTGTAGTTGTTGAAGGGAGAGAACTCAAATTACAGGTGGAGATTATGCTCCAGTATATACAAAAATTATAAATGAATGCATATCTTTTTGGAGTCAGGTACTGTGGTGGTATAAAGATAGGTGGGTGAGCAAGAGTGCCATATCTAGGGGAACTGTCATGTGTAATATAGCTGTAGTTGTCCTTGCAAAAAGCACTTGAGTTTTTCAATAAACTGATGTATAAGGATCTGCATGTCATTTCCCCTGTGTTGTCAGTTCAATGAATTAACTTAAGATTGATTTAGAAAAAGACTGACTATATACCACATATACATTATCTGGAGTTTCTTTATCAAGTGTGCTGCCCACATCTTAACAATTAATGTTTCCACATTATTTGTGTTTTGCTGCAAGCTGAGCACCCTATGCACCTCCACAGAATTAAATGAAAAGTTTAATAAGAATAATACACTGACAAATATTTTTTTCTGTTTCAAGTGATTTCGGTGAACTTCGTGGAAGAGTAAAAGGATTTGAAGGCTTACATTCTTGAGAAATTTGTGTAGTATCTGTTACACAGAGAAATGCTGAAATTTCAAGAAACTGCTAAGCGTGTCACTGTTGCAAGATTTAATTCTGCTTGCTCCGATGCTGTGATTGCAAGGAGATACACTATTCAGAGGACACTTGGCAATGGAAGCTTTGGAAGTGTATATCTGGTTTCTGACAGGAAAGCAAAACAAGGAGAAGAACTGTAAGTAAACTCTTCACATGTTTTAATTAAAAATATGTGGAACATATTTCTTTCATTGTAGATATTTTCTTTGTGTCTCATATCTCAGTTTGGTGTTACGTAGCAGCCTCAACTGTTTAACTTAGTGAGCACATAAGGTAGAAGCAGACTTTACACTGACTCAACATAACATTCTAACTAAATCTGGTTTATCCAATATATCTGTCTTATTGTGCATTTATCTAAGTTCTTTGCCATTTACTCATGCAAGGCAAGAGTGGAGGTCGATTGAAAGAGTCAGACTCTCATCTCCATAGATGCTCTGAAGCTTTGTAACAAATGATAAAACCAGTAAAACTATATGTAAATTACGTATCCCTCAGTGCCATACCTTGGACAGGTGACTAATGTAAGAGACATGCTGCAGAGAGGACCATTGTATTTACTCAGTACTGAGGTAAATTTTGTCACTGTCCTGACAACAAACGGGGCCTGATTTCACAGACTTGCTCCTCTTCTTCAAAGCAAAACTGTTCGTTAAAGGCTTAAAGCTTTTTAATTTATAAGCTATGATTTCATGATGAAGTCAATGCATAATATATGTGTGTATAATATGACTGTATATTTCTGAGATAAATTCTGGAAGTTCTCTTTCCAGAACACTTACTAAAGTGCTGGGCATTTGCTTTTCATCCAATGCTTATCTTCATGAAGATGATGGGGTTTTTTTCTAAAAATATGGGATAAGACAATCCTTAGTCTAATCAGGTCCAGCTCCTGCAGTATCTGGCTCTGTAATGCTTCCTTCAGTTACATGTGCCCATTAAAGCATGAAACATTTAAAAGGAGCATGAAAATGTCAGAATCTCTGAGTTTATTTTAATGGACTTCTGTCTTAATTTCTGATGATTACTTATTTATTTACTGTAGGTAAGTGTTTTGATAAAGCTTAATTGGATGCCTTTAGGAATCGATTCTATATCACTGTAAGGACACACGTTGTTGGAGGGGTCTTAAAAGAAACTGTACAGTACTGATGACCTATTTTTTGTAAGTGAATTGTCTAAATGAAGTCCAAAATAGAAGAGTTACAGAAATTCCAGTAAACATGTTTCTATTTGCTCTATAGCTAACTGGCAGCAGCTTTTTTTTTTTTTTTAATTGCCAGCAAATCTTGATTTTTAAAAAAATATTTTAATTTCTTTTTTTAACATGCCTGAATTTGGACAAGCTCTTTGGGATTCTGAAGCCACAGTGACAAAAGAACGTTTTCAAAGTGTTGACATTTCTGTATGTGAGGTTGAAGTTGGGTCCCTGGGTGATGCGTTGCTGGCTGGGCTTCCTGTTGTGCAGAACTGTGTTTGTCTCTCTTGATACTTACACCAAGTGAAATTTAAATATGAATATATTTGGGTTTATCCAATAAATTTGTAAGGATCTTTGTTTAAAGTCTGAAGCATTTAATCAATGTGCTTTTCATCCAGGAATACATTCTTCCTTTGAATATTTGCCTTTACGTAGTTGGGTTTTTTCCTAAGAATTTTGAGTGACTGTCTTGAACATACATTCCCTGTCTGCAGCATTTCATGCCTGTGTTTTGTTAGGGATGAGCCTGAGTGTGTCTTCTTCTACCTTCAGGACAGAGACCCGGTATCAAATGACACTTTTTTCTTTCAAAAATCAGTTTCTTTTTGTGTATTTGCACAACACAAACACAACAGTATTTAATAGGCCGCAAGTGCTGGTGTAATACTGTAGTTCGGCCTTTCATCACTAAGGGGTACTCGTGCATCACAGTTGCTCATTCCTTCGGCGCCTCAAACGCAGATTGACGAGAGGATTCCCCCGAATTTCCATCGCTTTTGTGCTAATAGATGACAAAAATACTGTCCCGGGAGAACGTGAAAACTCAGATAGCACAGTCAGATATGGTGTAGTCATGTTCTTCTGTTTATAAATGCTGCTTTCTTAAGGTGTTAAAATATGCTGGAAGTCACCTTCTCAGTACTACTTTCAAAGAAGAAAATAATCTCTTATGGAACTGTACTGGTTACTACTTCTGTTATAGGTACACTTCTTCATGAAAGTTTAGGTGGTTATGGTTCTTACTCTTTCAAAAGAATGATCTTAATACAGCCCCAAAAGTATTTAGGCAGGAAAAAAACCCCAAACCCAATCAAATTGTGACCACAACAGAATTAGAAGTCTATTTTTATTGTTTCAGAGATGATCTCGAATGTGCTGAGACAGATGTTGTGTACAGCGTGAACTGAGCCACAGATATTTTCCTGAACATTGCTATAGCCTAAAGCACTGTGAAGAATCATAAAGATACAAATTCCAAAGAAAAGTGACATCTTGGACATCGGTACAGAAGCTGTTCAGGGATATCTTTTGCTATTTCCCTTTAGTGCTATGCCTACAGAATGAGTTAATGTAGAGACTAACAATGGTTGTCATGTAATTTCATATATGCCTAGCAAAGCTTTTGAGTGATGCTAGAAGTAGTTTTGAGTCATGCCTTGTACTTTGCAGAGATGTGATAAATAAATTCTCTAAATGTCATAATAATTTCCTAAAAAGAAAAGTACAAGTTCTTCATTTTAGATTTATGGCTAGGGAAGATGACTTCTGTCTTCCATGTTTGTCCCTTAAGCTATACCTTTCACTGAGCTTCTTCTAAAGGAGCTTTTGATCCTGTTGCATGATTCTCACTGAGTATGACAGAGGGTTAAATATCTCAGATAAAAGTCCCTGCAACTTCTGTGAAAACAGATAGCAGAGTAAAGAACAAAATGAATGCCCTCATAAAGAGAAAGGCCAGAACCTGGGTGTTTCTTCACCGTGAATGGAATTTCTCATGTACTAGGCAATCCGTAGAGGAGAGAGATCATCAATTTCCTCCAGTTTTGCAAGAAACTGCAGTCAGAATTTATATCATCTTAGACCCTAAAGTAGTTCAATAAAGGAGACACATTTGTACAAAAAGCAAGCTTCTTAGTTCCAGTCTTGGTTTGTGTGTTACTTGATCCTTACTTGTTTCTGGACTTCATGGCCCTAGATCTACTCATAATAATTAGATAATTTGATTTGTATAAAGGAAGTAACAGGATTCTACCAGCATTTTTGCAACAAACAGTCATAGAAGTGCAGTCACTTCTACCCCAGTCCCCCTGAGCAGCTTATCAGCTAATTATAACAGATAATTGTGGTTAAAGACAGTCTTTCACAGTAGAGATTGAAGTTCAGCAGTAGTCTTGAAGGACAGTGTCATATCTTATAGAAAATGAATGTCCTAATCAATTGTGCTAAGGGAAGCTCTGGTTTAAGTTTCACTAATTCATAACTGTGTATGGGCAAGCAGCTGAAGCACACAGTAGGCAACAGGGACTTCTAGTTCATAAATATTCACAAAGTATTTACGTGTCCCCATGGTGGAAAGCACACGCTGACAAGTGCCAAGCTCCCTGGACTGCTCCACTGTGTGGTGACTGTGGGGTGTCAGCTCAGCCACTGCATCTGACTTGCGTTATAGCATTAACCCAGACTCATGCTATGATTCCTTGGAAACTGTGCACTTAGCTGAATAATTTATCAGGTGACTTTCAATTATTTATGGCTTCTTATAACAAATGAAATAAAATCTAAAGGTGGAAGAGATTTGTAACTTATGAATATCCAAGCGACAATCAGCAGATTGCTGTGTCGTCAAATCCCTGTGTTTGCTGCTTGTTTACTTCTCTGAAGGTGTTCCAAGGGAATGGCCATTTGATACAGAATTGATTAAAACAGTTACAAATGTCTCCCTGCCAGTTGTGGTGTGCATGTATATCTAATCGCACTGCTTTCCTTTTTTCTTCTCTCTCCTTTAATAATAAAAACTGGAAATTAAAACATGAGAACATTTTAGATTTATGATCAGATGTTCATGATCTCCTTGAAAACTGATCAAAGCTGCATTTCCTGTAAGACCTTTCTAATTTCTGCTTATTTTTAAATAAGCTTTTCTTAGTGAACCGTCTTTTGCTTGTCAGTCACATGTGCCTCTGTTCTTCACATAAGGCTCAGGCACTGTGCATCAGCTGAGCTGCCGTGGCTGCTGAGGTCTACAGTCATGCTTGGCCCCAAATAGGGGATGATAAGAACATTGACAGAGAGGCCTTGCAGATGTAGCTAGAGTGGTTTGAGAAGTTAGCCTTCATGAGCTTTCCACTTCAGTGGCCAAGCATGACTTTCATATTCTGTGAGCAATGCTACAGGAGTCAAGACATAGAGCTAAGCATCAAAGTCCTTGCTGAAACCTCAGAAACATCAGTTCCTGATGCTCTTGTGCCTTAGTTTAACAGTACACCTGCAAATGGAGGTTGCCGGAGAGTGAAACCGTAAATGTTTTGTTTCAGGTTTGGCAGGCAGTTCCAGCTATGGCCACAATTTTCAGATAATTTCTAGTGCAGACCAATACTGGTTCAAAGACAAGTTTGATAACTCCCAAAGCAATTCTCATTGGAGACTATGTGGGAAGGTGCTTTAGTTCTTACCTCCTGCATCCCTGTCAGTTTCCAGCTTTTCCTGCAGTGCAGCATGGCACAGTAGGGCTCCTCCAGGTTTTTGGACCATGGAGTTAATGACCTGCAACCTCCCTTGCAGCAAGAGTATGACAATGCTGAAGTACAACACAGGTACAGAATGCAGGAGCTGCCATTATAACCCTCTCCATCAGATTCCCCTCTCCAGTAAAGCCGTGCTTTTCCACAGCTACCACAAAGCTATGGAAACAGGCACATACCTGCATCTTTGCAGAGGGATGCTCTGCTAAAATTGGTAGCACAACAGAATTGATTGTTGCAAAATGCAGGAATCCAAGAAATTGATCATTTCATGCTGGAACAATTTATTTAGAACTCAGTGTAAGAAAGTTTGGAAAGTTCCTGTACTGGATAAACATCTAGTGGGGGCTGCAGGGTAGCTTAGCCTTGGAGCCCAGATGTTAAGATTTTACCCTGACCATGCTGTCAGTGGAT